ACACTCACCTAGCATGTGTGAGACACAGGGTTTGATCCTCAGCACCACATAAAAATATTACATTTAATTTAAAAAAATTTAGAAAAAATGAATGTCAATACATATCTAATAATAGTGCTGTGATTTTGAGTGCCAATGCATGTAAAAAGATGATTAGTGGCTCAGTGGTAATGCACTTGCCTGGCATATGTGAGGCACTGGGTTTGATTCTCAGCACCATGTATAAATAAATAAAGGTCTATCAACAGGGCTGGGGATGTGGCTCAAGCGGTAGCGCGCTCGCCTGGCATGTGTGTGGCCCGGGTTCGATCCTCAGCACCAAATACAAACAAAGATGTCATGTCCGCCGAAAACTAAAAAATAAATATTAAAAATTCTCTCTCTCTCTCTCTTAAAAAAAAAAAAGATCTATCAACAACTAAAAAAATAATAATAAAAAAAAAGATGATTAGCAAAAGTGCCTGGCATATACTAAACCTTTGATAGATAACAACAATTTTTTAAAAAGTAATATTTGTTAATATCATTTTAAAAGAGATCTTGAGTTAGGCATGATGGGGCTCACCTGTAATCCCAGTGACTTGAAAGACTGAGGCAGGAGGATCACAGGCCTCCTAGGTCAGCCTCAGCAACTTAGTAAGGCCCGAAGCAACTCAATGAGCCTAAGTCTCAAAATTTAAAAAAAGAAGGAAAAAAAAAAAAGAAAGAAAAAAGAAACAAATGGCAGATGGTAAAATTGGAGCACCAGTCCCTTTTGCCCCACAAAAGACAAGTAGCTGCACTGACACTGCTCAGCCTGAGGATTCCTCTCCTCTGCTGCGTGCTTTCATATACCATGGATTCAGTGTGGGACAGTGGCTTTCTGTGGAATCAGCAGGGAAGCTGGGTAAATGCTGCACACGAACACTTACCACTTAGAAGACTTGCCTCAGGGGCCACATGAAATCTCTGCTCTGAATGACACAGGATGGACGGGCAGAGGAGACCATCCATCAGTGTCAAGAAAGATCTGAAGCACCTGGCTAGTCAGGTGAAATAAAATAAATTATTTACTGATCTCAGAATCCAGCTGCTCTCTTGAATGCTCATAAAGGGTTATTTGCTGGCCTGTGTTTTGCAGTAGAATTGAAGGAAAGAATTTCTGGATTGCTGTGTGCAGGTTTTTGCTGTTTTTGTGAGAGTAAAGGGATGCTGTTACATGCTTTGTAAGGAGGGAGAAAGTCTGAAATTATACACCTGACCTAATCTCTGTTGGAAAAGAAGGCTATTCACTCTTAGCATGAAACAATACTCATGGGCATGGTTTATCTGGTTGTCACAAAACTGCTTAGGACTCATTAATGAACTTTCTGCTTTTAAGGTTAAAAACTGAACTTAATCTACCCTCACAGGATCTAATGCCATCTGTTTTAGAAACTTCCCAGAACTGTGACACTCCACCAGGGGGCGCTATGTGTGGCACTGGAAGCATCCCCACGTGACTGGGACCTCCCTCCAGAGAACCACTGTTTTGGGGAGAGATACCTGTATCACTGGTACCATCCATTTCTAACTTTCTGGACTCCTTTGTAGCCACAGATGAAACTCTACCAGGAGAGCCACCATCTAACCTGAGTGACCTGGTTCAATACCTACAAGATGAGGGACTAGGAGAGATGGCAATGGGCAAAATAAACAATAATGACAGTGATAACACCACCTCTAAGGTACCATTTAGAATGCAGTTCTATGGGCCATTTTCATATGGACTAAAACACCACAATCCTCATTTAAAAAAATTTTTGTTTTAATTGTAGGTGGACACAGTAACTTTTGTTTTATTTTTATGTGGTGCCGAGGATCGAACCCAGTGCCTCATGCGTGCTAGGTGAGTGCTCTACCTCTGCGCCACAGTCCCAGCCCCTCATTTTATAAATGGCAAAAACTTAAAATTGAAAAGCAAAGGGTCTTGCCCAGGCTGGCTGTAGGCAAGTGGCAAAGTGGAGGACTCAAAGCCAACCCTGAATGAGTGCAGAGCTGGCTCCTCCCACAAATTCTTCTGTTCACTTTTTCCTTTGAATGAATATATAAAATCAGAATCTGGGCAATAAGATTTGTCTTTCAGCCTTTAAAAGAAAGTGGGGGAGAAAAGCCCAGGACCTGTTATGGTTCCCAGGCACAGCTTGTCACACTACGGAATCACAATTTGCGGATCATGCCCACTAGGGAACATCCCTGCCTTGGGCCTCTGTCTTGACCAAAGCTGGGCTACTTACTGGACTTCTTAAAACCAGGCCCACTCAGAAAAAAGCAGATCCTTTGCTACTGAGCAAATACTGCTGCCAAACACAAACTGATGTTGTAGAATAATCTTATTTTAGAAAATTTTTAATTAAAAATGCACACACAGAAAAGGCACAAATCCTGAACATATAACTTGAATGTGCCAAAAAGTTTACAAATCAGCCTATTTGAGAACCGATGAAGAACAAGAAGTTTGCCAGTCTCCCAGAAGCCCCACCTAGAACGGGGCTACCTCTCTCTCCAGGTTCTGATATCCTCACTCCTTACACAAGGGTATTTTGATGACTTTTTTGAACATTATATAAGTAGAATTATGTGGCATGTTCTTTCTTTTTCCTCTCCTTCATTTGTTTTTCAGTGCTGGGGATTGAACACAGGGTTTCATGCATGGTAGGCAAGTGCTCTATCATTGTGCGACATCCCTAAGCTAGAGATCTGGCTTCTTCTTGAACAGTCTTCTTATTTTTAGTTCTAAGAAGGTCACCAGGAAAAACAGCCCCAGGGTTTTTTCTACTATTCTCTAAGCAACTTTTATATATTAAATAACATTTTTACTACTTTAGCTGTATACTTTTTTGTTTTTGTTATACTGGGAATTGAACCCAGGGTCGCTTAACCACTGAGCCACATCCCTAGCCCTTTACAAATTTTATTTAGAGACACGGTCTCGTTGAGTTCCTTACAACTAAAGTTGCTGAGGCTGGCTTTGAACTTCTGATCCTCTTGCCTCAGCCTCCCTAGAGGCTGGGATTACAGATGTGTGCTACCGCGCCTGGCCCTTTTGTTTTGTTTTTGATGAGACAATACAAGTATAGATAGCGAGGAGAAGGTAGGTTCTGTGTTTTGGTTCAAAGTTACTGATTTGTTTATTTAGTTTGTTGGGATCATCATCATTCTAGCAGCTCACATTTGAGTTTGTGTGTTACTCTTCTGGTGCTGGGGACTGAATCCAGGGCCTCACAAATGCTGAGTCACACCACAGAACCCTAGCAGCTACTGTTTACCGAACACTTACCATATACCAGGCACCTTTCTAAGTATTCTGCATGTGCTGTGACACTTCATCCTCATAATTACCCTAAGAGATAGGGACTATTATTATCTTTATTTCACAGATGAGGAAATTGGGGCTCTGAATCATTTGCCAGTGGCAACATAGCTAACAAATGCCCAGGGTGTGAAACCAGGCTTTACCTGCCGAGCCCATCCTCTACACACTGAGCCACACTGCCTCTCAACTAACAGCCCTCACACGCTGCTCACTCACTGCTTTCCAGGCCCTCCGCAATCCTCAGAAGTTGATGCTGCTGATAGTCTCATCTAAATAGGGCAGAACTGAAGCTCAGGAAGATGAAGACCCTGGCTCATGGTTACATGGCTAGTTATGGATACAGCATTATGCCCAGCGAGGTTCATGGGTTCATCTCTTAATTATTAAGTTGTGCTGTCAGCAGGCTGCAAGTTCCTGTCAATCAAGTTGGGAAGGAATATGTGAGATTTTTGAGGCTTATTACATGTTATCCAGATTTAGAGTAATGCCAACATAGAAAAGAATTAATTGAGAAACAAAGCATTTGTGAGAAACTTAAAATCAGTGAGCCCCAGAATTAGAATTTAAGCTTTTTTCCTCTATGCAATAGGCACACAAGAGCCAGGAAGGGGTGATGTGGCACAGTCAGGAGGGTTTGGCTCCCTGATTGAGAGAACCTGGCATCCCTACCTGTTCCTCCTCTCCCCAAACATATGTGGAGCCCCTTTGTTAGGGAGCAGGTACACCCCAGGGTTCTGCTCTGACACCACCATCAGCCACCTGTGAGATGGTTGAGATTGCATCTCTTTGTACTTTAGTTACATTCTCTGTCAGATGGGGACAGTAAAAATACCTACGTTTTAGGTAATTAAGTAGCACAAACAAAGCACTCAGCACAGTGATTAATGTCCAGTGGCTACCTAGAAAGGGTAGCCATGATGATGAAGATGGCAACAATGACAATATTGTATTAATATTACTATTATGATGCCTTTTCTACTCCTGTTGGGTTTAAGTCAGAACAGAAATTTGGCATTTCTGCTGAATTAACAATTCACTGCAAATATGTGTTCAAGGCTAGTTCCAAATTATCTGGTGAGAATCAAATACAACCTCTGAGATGCTTACAAAGCTTCCTAAATGAAAAAACAACGAGTTCACAGAGGAACAAAAGGCAGCAGTGATGTCACACAACACACCTGAGGACAGAATCACAGAATGAAAAGATCACAGAACTTCACCAAAGTCGATGAGCTTGAACAGAATCTCAAGTTGGCTCTACTTCTAATCTACTTCGTAAAGAAGACACAAGACAGAGCAGAGGTGGGAAAAAGATGTACTTTAAATTTCATCATCATTCAACATTTTCTCAGAAAACAACCTACCTTTTTTATTTTTATTTTTTATTTTTTGGTACTAGGGATTGAACCCAGGGGTGCTTTACCACTGAGCTGCATCCCCAGCCCTTTTTAATTTTTATTTTAAGGCAGAGTCTTGGCTTCAAACTTTCAATCCTCTTACCTCAGCTTCCCCAGTTGCTGGGATCACAAATGTGCGCCACTGTCCTCAGCTAACAAATTAGCTTTAATCATTCAGGTTACATAAAAGTTGTATGTCACTTCTTTCCCTCTTTCTACATGGACTACTGATTTAAAGAGTTCAGTTCATCACCTGTCCGTGTACTTACCTAACTGTACATCGGTTGTGAATCGTAGTCTGTGGATCATGCTGACTTTGAATGACTTGTAATGGTGGCTGCTAAGCATATCCTGTACCGTAGCTATGTCAATTTGTGAATCCTCCTCAAAAACCCCGTCTGCCCTTGAACCTGGGGAGGAAAAAAAGCACTTTAACACATAAAGATACATGAGGCTTGGCAAATGGTGTCTGCTTAAAATGCTTTGGGATAAATTAAAATAATATGGGCTATTTAATTTGGAGAAGAAAAGGCTGAGCAATGACTTAATAATGCCATTCCAGTAAACAGAGGATGGTAACATATTAATCATTCAACAATTAATTCCACAAACACAGCCTATTCTACACCAGGCCTCGTCTGGGCAGTAGGATAAGAGGAGGATAGAAAAATCCCTGCTTGCTCTCGGTGAGAGCTCAGTCTCCGTAAGACTTAAGTCAAGATCACAAGAGTATGGGTGGCCGAACCTCTTGCTTTTCTTCTAAATGTGATTTTCCTGATCAGAGAAGTAATTCATGTTCCTTGAAGAATCCCTATTCCTTCCAGGATTCCCCAACCGTCTGTTGAATGGTTTCCCCGCCCTGCACTCCAGTCTCTGCTGGTTCAGGTGGAAGCCTGCTGGCGCTTGGATGTCTGTGACAGTCTCCTCACTGGCCGCCTGGCCGCCAGGCTCCCTCTGCACCACAAGACTTTTCAATTCATCTTTCCAAAGGTTTGATCATTCATTCACTCACCAAATGTTTACTGAGAGCCCTGTGCATGCTAAGTATTATGATATGTGACTCGGGAGACAAATAGGAAGACTGACGCTCTAAAGCCTTCCCTGGCTTCCCAGAGCCTCCTGAACACAGCAGACTTTTTTCAGCCAAGCAATCAAGGCAGCCCACAATCTGGCTGAAATGTACCTTCCCACCCTCTGTCACTCCTTCCACATGTCTCCTCTTTCCCTGGGGAGCTCTTCCCATGCTCCTCAGACTGCACACGGGTCCAGGGTTTTCTGCTTCTGGGCCTCTGCTCATGCAGTGCTCCTTCCACCCTCGCCCAGAGTTGTCAAAATCTGCTCTCTCCCCCAGGCTAGCTCAAACTCCACCTTCTCCATGAATTCTTTTCTGATGGATCTCATTGGCAGTGAGTTCCACAATGGTTAGTGGATACTGGACCCTACAGCCAGGTAGATCTGGTCTCAGTTCACAGCTCTGCCTCTAATTTGCTGTGTGACTTTGAACAAGTGACTTTACCTTTCTGAACTCCAGTTTTGAACTCCAGTTTCTGCCACTCAAAGACTGTCACAATTCATTTAAAAAAATCAAATAATATGCTTAAAATAATCATGGCTACTGTTTATTTATTCAATTCTCAGGATGATATTCAGCCTTGCAATAAAATTGTTTAGTGGTTGCTTTATCCTAACATGGAGGCTCAGTGAAGGTGAGTAAAGTATTTATTTATGTCTGTATTTTCTCCTGCAAGCAGTATAGGCAACTGGCATGTTCACTAAATCTTGACAAGTAGATAACAGCTGGTAGGGACAAGCACTTACTATGTGCCAAGCATGGTATTAAGCACATCATACATGCCACCACATTTAAGGCTCATGACAACCTGATTTTCCATCCTATACAGATGATGAACCTAAGGCTTTTGGAGGCCAAGTCATATGCCCAAGGCTACACAACTTAAAGGCAAATTACCCCTTGGTCTCTAGAGTCTGGAATGTGGGCTTCTGAAGTTGTGGATGCTGCTGGTCTTCTAGGAATGAGGGGAGTACCAGTCTAGCAGAGGTCAACCAGAGCAGGGGCCATAGGCCTTGTGTAGGGGACCACTGGGAAACCCACATAGTAATGGCTTGGGACAGGGCTGGAGGAATGGAAAACTATAGGCTTGGGTATCAAACTGGAAAATTCTGTTACATATCTGGCAGCCTTTTTGCCCCCTAATCACTGCCTATAGGGCGAGCTTTTCAAGAAGCTGGTTTCTGATGCTGTCACACTGAACTCAGACACTGAAGTTATTCCCAAACTGGGCAGTTTCAGCACTCTCAATAAGGCCTTCTAATTGGTAAGGATGTGGGATGCCTCCAACTGAGTTCTACCTCGGAGCATCTTGCACATGCTGTCCTCTCTGCCCAGCAAACCCTTCTCCCCATTTGTTCCCTCCTGCTGTCTCCCTAGGCCTCCTGAAGAATATAGATCAAGTGGTGCTCCAGGGAAATGCTCCCTGAGCCCAGTCCCCCATGTTAGCTTGGCTCTTTATGCCACTGTGCCGAGTGTTTTCTTCAGAACAGTTACCACAAGTAGTTTATTGCCTGCCACTAGACTGTAGACCCCAGAGGGCAGGCCCAGACCCTGCCATGCCACAGTACTGAGGAAGAAGCAAGAGCTTAATGAAAATTTACTAAACGAATGTGAACAGGTGCCATGTCCACAGGAAGGTGATGGTCAGAGAGGCTGCATGACTGAACCAACATCACACTGCTCGGACATATCTGCAGGGGCCACTGCGTGACCCATTTCCTTTCTTTGCAACATCTATGAATTTGGACAGTTGTGTCACAATCACAGTCCCTACTATCTCTTGAGCAATGTTCACATCTGACCTGAGAGGCTGGCTAGAAGTTTAGAGTTTAAAATATAAACATTCACTTTTTCCAATCTATATTTTTACTGACACTTAACTGCCAAAATGAGTTTATTCTTATTTTAGAACATTTTTATACATGAGAATTATAGGAAATTTTAATAAAATATTAAAATTCTTTAATGTTTAAAAAGTTGGTTAAAGCCTTCTTTTCTGAGAAAATGTATTAGATATAACTTAGTTCTTAATTCCAGAACTTCTGTTTTCTTTACTAATTAATATTTTTTAAATATTGTAGGTATTTGATTTGGAAAGAGGTAACAGCTCATTATGCTAAAATGCCAATTACTAAAAGAAAAAAAATCCACACTTAAGATTTTTACATTTTATGATGTTGGATTAAAACCAATTTAAAAATTACTATAACGTGACATATAATTTTTTACCGAGCAATCTCAATGCCAGCTGCTAATAAAGCATCTTAGCTGTAAATGATAATTCAGATGCTTTTAGATAAAGTGGTGCATAAATATGGCTGGAAATTGATTTAGCTTCTTACAGAAGCTACTGAAGAATGACATATTTTGTTTAATACACCAGCTAATGTAGTCCTAAAAGCTCAAACAAGTGCCAGTTTTCACTCCTAAATTTGCTGTGGGAGATTAATGAAAACTTTATATTTTGCTGAAATGTTAATAATGGGCAGATGAGATGATAGGATTTTAGTAGAGGTCTTAAAGCTACGGAATAACCAGCAAGGCTTGTCAATTTCCTTATATTAATTTTGTTCAAGCCTTCTAGAGCTGGAGCCGCTCAGCACACTAATGCTCTGTGCATTGACCTTCTACTCTCTGCCAGTGTAAATTCATATCCCATTTGAGGACTTAAGTCACCCTGATACTCGAGTGAGTTCTGAGCCTTGCTCCTGCTGACAAGGGGTGTGTTTGCTTTTATGATCAGAAGGGCGACAGCACCTGGAGAGTGGGGAAGTAACAGTCCTGCACTCGTCTCCAGTCCATGCTGCTTGCTCCAAAGCAGGTGAACTGCTGCACGGGAACAAACGCTGGACTTGAGAGCTCTAGTGCCATTTCTCAAATTGGACCCAGGAGTGCCTCTGCTTGGAGGGGCATATCTGTGTGTGCATGTGACGTCCCCGCAGCCAGCAGTGTGCAAGGCTGTGGGAAGGCGGGGGGCGGGGGGGGGGCATGGGGTTATGGGGGGGCAGCGTGGTGGTGGTGGTGGTGAGGTGTGGTTGCAGGCGACTACAGAGCACGACAGAAACAGGCAGAGAGAAAAGCCCACAGAAGAGATATGCCACGGACACTTTATCTAAAGACCACCATTTGAAGAAAGCATTATATCAAAAGTTATGTTTTCGGACCAGAAATGTTCTATGCCTTGATGTAAATGTCTTTAATGTATGTATTCTTCTGGAAAAGAGTGAACCCAACCACACACCAAAGATGCTTGGGACTACACCACTGACATATTAAAATCATTATTGTACTATAAACTTCACATTAAAAAACTCACTTGTGTTTGAGAGAAGCCATTTTTATCATCTTAGAAGTGAAAAGTAGGGTGCGCCAGAATGTCTTAAAAATAAACATACCAAAAAAAAAAAAACCCCACTCCCTAAACCATTAATTTAATTGAAATATAACCTTTTGTATTTTGTTAAATTAGCAATTAAAAAGGTCACAAGCAATTAAATGAAACAAAAGCCACACTGTGTTCATCTACATTAATGCTGAACTGGGTCTCTCCCTGAATGACAAGATAAATTGTAATGGTGCCTTCAAAGACTTCACGATGTATTTTGTCAAAGTCGGGAGTGTTAATGTCTCTATGTGCCATGGATTACCATAATGTATCGTGTCAAAACGCTCGAGCTGCAATAACTCATAGATATATTGTGATAGATCAAATTTGGGGGTGGGGCCTATTACTGATGGGGACCAAAGCTCAAATGAACTGACAGGCTCTGGAAATAAGACAAGGGTTCTTCACAGTGTGGAAAGGTGAGGGGTAGCAGCAGGCAGAGGATCCAGAGAAGTGGTTTAACCCTGTGGAGTGAGAAACAGGAAAGAGGAATGAAGGAATGAAGTCAGGCCCTTGTCCTAGGTGAAGAATGGTTAAACAAGGATGGGGCAGGAAGGGATAAAGGGAAGCAGAGAGGAGGAAAGGAAGGACAAAGGTGACTCTGGGGCCTGCAGTAAAGAAAGAGGAGTGCTGTGAGACAGCAGGGAAGTGGCCTGGGCTCAATTACATTAGGTGGGACATGAATATAGAGTTCAGCAATGTTGATTCAAACCCTGACTCTAGGGTCAAACTCTTTCCCAAGAGCCAACTTGCAGAGCTGGGACAGACTACCGGCCTCTAGAGTCTGCCCTCCAGTGCTCCTTTCCCTTCCTCTGAGTGGTGCTGTAGGCCACTCCTTCCCCACCCACCTCACTAAGCAGAATAAGGAGACTAAAGACTTAAGTAAGGGTAAATTCTAAGTTGGGTATTCTCAAAGTGCAGTCAGGGACCCATTATGGGACATATCCCCAAAC